ATATCTATTCATCAATTTAAATGTTGGACCGATTTTTGAAGTAATTTCGTGTGAATCCATAAGGCCGCTAAACGCAGGGATTTATTTTAAAATTTATGTATAAATGACAAAAAAAAAGGCTGTTAGAATACATATCATTCGCAAAGTCTAGTGCAGAACTAGGTTATTCTGATATTGAGACTATATCTTCATTCCGGAGAATCTATAATCGTTGTCAGAAAAAATGTGTTGTTTTATTTTTTTTTTGAAACGGTTGTATGTTTCATACTACATTAGTATGTAGATAATACAAGGATAATACATACTAATTTATTCATTCTCAACTTAAGACTATTTCCGAACAATAGTCTATATTGTTTTATTAGGAGTAAAAATTATACTTTTTTTAACGATGCTGTACCTTTGAAGAACCATCGTAAAGCTATTCCGACGTTACAGGGAGGCACAAAAAGTACATTTTTACTCCGAATAGAACATAAAATACATATATTTTTTTTAAACATTAAATTTTTTTTTTTTTCAAACATTGCAAATAATATGAACAGTAATCGAGCAACAATTTGTACACTCGTTGAATTTGACACTTATTATCAGTTTAATAATATATTTTTGTACTTTTGTGCTAAGGCGTTAGGCGTTAAAATGACAAAAGTTAATATTTTTGAGACGTTTGAAAAAAAAATCCTTTTGATTTGAGGCGAGCAACTTTTTTTGAGGAATATATTGGTGACCGATGTGGAAAAATGGCACGCGCCGTAGAATTGTTAATGTTATCGGTATCGGGGAGAGTTATAAATATTTAGCCATTTAGGATAGGACTTTAATTGGAAATAAGTCCTAGTCATTTTGAAATCCGATTTAAATATTGTTTTGAATTAAAATAAAAAAAATCTGATTTTTTTATTTTTTTTTTAAATCATGATTTTTTCCAACCCTGATGCGAAGTAAATAGCAATGTAAAGCAAATTAGATTAGCTTGCATTTCTTTCATTCTTTATTATTATTATTATATGTAATGGTGAATTAATATCTTTTATTTTTTCACTTCATTTTTATGTTGACGAAAGACACGGAAAACAGATGACCAAATCTATTTTTCCAAGGCTCCTATTGATTAAAAATTAGTGTTTTAAACACAACCATGGCACTCTAGATTGAAATTTAAAACACGATTTTTTTAAACAAGAATTTGAAAAGTTGCCATGTGATATGTCATTCTAATCAGAGTGTCATTTTCTATCGAATCAAGTATAAAAATACCGAAGGTGCCATTTAAAATTGAAAAGTTGTAGTCATTTCCGGTGGAACAGGAAGTGACCGAAAACAATTGAATATGTCAATCAATCCTAATTTATGTCTTATACTAACATACCAAATCTCGTTTTTTTATTTGAATAAATAAAAAAGTTATAGGGGTGAGATACTTTTGAGACGCACCCGGTATTACCAGTAAAAATATTTTTTGCACTTATTTAGGATTCACCTGTATAGGCACTACTGTTTGTTAAGCTACGAAATACTTTAAAATAAATCGTATTCATACGATTGTTGAACCACCCTGTATATTTATAATAATAATAGCTTCCGTATACAGCTAGGGACAGGCAAACTCTGCGGGTTGGATTTTAACGTGTAAGACAGTGATGTAGACAGCTTAATAGCAAATCAAATGTATTAAAAAAAGAAAAAAGTTGGGTGGGTATGGGTGGGTACATTTCTTCTGAGCAGTATTACCGGATTTTGCATCAACATTTAAAACCGCATAAGTAGACGTTTCAAAAAAATGTTGCATCAGGGTTGGATCTGGATTTTCGACAATTATTTACTCATTTTACTACAACTGTAATAGATTAAATTTAGCTTAGATATATTATCTTCATTTCAGTAGTATACATGAAAGTTTTTAACATAGTTTATTTTATTCTAAATTATTTAAGGCTAAGATAATAAAATTTATACCGGATCGACAAGAGAAAGTCTTCGGCATCAGGGCCGCGTTAAGGTGATTTGGTACCCTAGGCACCATTTATTTTGCCGCCCCCTTCAACTAATAAAAAATCAAGTAAATTTTGTTATTTCAAAAATGACGCCCCCTATCAGCCTGCCAGGCCGCCCTAGGCAGCTGCCTATCTTGCCTAATGGATAAAGCGGCACTGGTCTTGGGTCAGCATTAACCGAGGGAGGGGTAAACCGCTGGTGTATTTTGGTGTACAAGATGTTGACATTACTTGGTATTAGTGGTATTAATCGTGTTATTAGTTGGCATTTTTCCATTATACGTGGTATTAGTGTACAGAAATTTGTCAGCGGCTTACCCCTCGGCATTTACCTACATGTGTAGAAGTGAATCGCTATGGCGATGTTGTAAATCGGAGAGAAAAAAAATCCAAAGTTTCATGCGCTTGGGAATGCGTTCTGAATGAAGCTTTATAGTAGACAAATTTTATGTAGTATGTAATAATAATGTATTAGCTCCCGTATATAGCGTTTAACGCCAGTGCCAGTAGCAAGGTACAGCTTGCCATGCCAAAGCCGTTCGGTATACAAGGAAGGTAATGTGGCTAAAGCACTACGCTTCAACCGCTTATTATTACCTCAGGATTGTGAATCTCAAGTACTCATTTAAGGCTGAGTCGACATAGGTACCCGAACTATTTTATTTTAATAAAAATAGTCGGCTGATGAAATGCCGGCTGAAGGATGCCACCCTGTATATTTACTGAAGTTAAATAGACAAGATAATTACGGTACGTATAATGGGTCTCGTTTTTGCTAATGATGCCGCAATAAATGTTTCAATAATATTAAATTATTTTACGATCATTCTTCAATTGGTATTTACAATGAGTCCCGGACCCCTGCAATTGTATTATTTATTATACTAGTCAATTTAATTTATGATCATATTATTGGTACTTTAATACTAGGCGTTCAATACTTAGGTTTTAAGTCTTATTGCTTTGCTGTTCTTAATAAGGTTTATTCAACGAAAAAATACATATGACAGTGACAGCTGTGTCTGTCATTTTAATTGGCAGGTAAATCGTATTTCCTGTCATTTTTTAGATGTTTTTAGATCTATTGTGTCCCCCTTTTTTTGAGTTATAACTCATCGTACAGTCTCAGGACTTTGACAAAAGCCAGTATCTGAGACGGTTTTACACAGGCATTTATTAAGCATTTATTTAAACTTTAGACTCATTGTTATAAGGTCTTATTTTATTTTTCATAATATAATCATCTCTACAGGCGCCACATAAAATTAGATGATCATTGAATATATTATAATTTTTCGAATAAATTAACTTCTACAGGATATTTTTCAGAAGCCATATCATTAAAGATGCATATATTCAGATTATTTTCATTTATTTTGCCATTCTTTTTGCATTCCTAAGACATGCCAGATTATCAAAAATAAGCTAAAATTATGTTTATAATTTATGGAAGTCCGTGAAGATGGTGATCTATTATCTATAAATAACATTACAACGTAGTAGAACGTACTGTACATTTTTTACTGTCTAATAACACAGAATTGAAACTGTCTAATAAAACACGCCTAATAACGACATTTCACCTAATACACTAGTACAAACGTTACGTTGAGACATTCTGGCCCTCCTGATCTTCATTCTATCTACTATCTGTGTAGAATTGCTTTTAGACACTACTCCAATATCCTCTAAAACAACATTTGCGATTACAGCGGCAGCGTGATCTGAAACTCCAGGTGGACAAGTTTCAAATTTATTAAGGAACCGGAAAACAATAATTTAAGTGCTTTAGTTTGGATAACATTATTGGGTTATATTTTATAGTCATATTAAGCAGTGTGTTAAGGGTAAAAGATAAATAATTATCAAATATTTTGACGGACAAAAAAACAAATATTTTTAAGGCCCGTGAGGAACCTGAAGATCCAAAGGCAGGGCGCTCAGTTTTCGAGAAAAAAAAATACTTATCTAAAGGCACATTTTGAGGCTTGTGTGAAAATATTTTGGAAAACATTTTTTTTTCGTTCCACCCTACTGTACAAGTACTAAAAAAAACGGCGTCAAAGACGGCTGTGGAATGACAATCAATTAATAATAATGGCGCTTACTACCTTACCCTATCTATGTTTAGTAAATGAGGTCTTAGAGATTGACATCGCCAAAATTATCATCGATTATTATTCTAAGGCACCTTTGACACCGTTTTTTTTAACATGCGGTATAATGCGTTATTTACAAAAAAGACAATGGTGATGGTCTCAGAAGGAAGTATCAATCAGCAAAAAAAGTATTCAAAAAAGAAAATGCTCAGGAGACATGGTTCTGATGGAAAAATAGATATTTATGAAAAGTTACTAGCGAAATTATTGCACAGGGTGTTTTAAAGTTAGAGTAAAAAACAAACCTTCAATTAACCCTTAAAGTTTATAAAAAAAACAAAGTTTATGAATTAAAGTTGATAAATTTATAAACAGTTTGCTAAAAAATCATGAAAATAGGGCTAAAAGTAAAAAAAGTATTTATTTATTTAAAACACTTTAAACTTGACAAAAAAATCCCGCGTTGCGGTTTTTTGTATCTGAGTGTATTTTAATTTGCTCGAATAAATTATTTTATCTCATTGGTATTGTACAGAATGAGTATTTGTTTACCACATACCGAATTTGCATAGATACAAAACGATTATAATACTATTTCTGTATTTAACCACTTAATTAAGTTAACTTGGAATATATAACATACCTACAATATTGATAAATGTATCTATTATTTACCTATTTGTATTATAAAAAGCGAAATTACTTTTTCAGTAGATGTTCCTAACGCCCTTTGAATGACGCAAAAACTCGATTATTTTTAATGCAAAACTCGTACGCATCGTTCACGGTCATACCTAAACAGTTAATTAAAAGATGTATCGTTCAAATCAAACATAATAATCACTTATTACAGTAAAAACAAAATTAAACATGGGCAAATTTATACGCGCTAAATGGTACTTACCGAAAAAAAAATCATCCGGTTTTTGTATGAAAATCCTTGTTCTTTTACTAATAAAAAAAAGTTCGCCGTTGGGTCGTCCAATATAAACTGAACAATTATTAATATTATTTCCAATATGCCACTAATAATAATTTCACGAACGTGAAGAGGCGCGTGTGTTTAGTACTGTCCATTATATTCGGTTTGCGGTGCTGACTGATGGTATAGACCGATTGGTGAGACGCTCTTGACTGACTGATGGTGGATAGAGTTTTCTCCCTGAGGAGAACTCATAAAAATACGGGGGGCAGTACGAAAGGTATGGTCGAGTACCTAGCCTGTCGCGTTAGGTACGAGAAGTCGTACCGAAGATTTTGCATATCGTCGGTGAGATGTGATAAACTGCTAACTCCATTATTCCTAATTTTACAGGAGAGCAAAAAAACGGTACAAAAAATATGTACACATGTAGGAAGTATTTTCATGCGTTAATATGATAAAGAGATAAGGATTTTATTTGCTGGGGAACAATAAAACCCAGTATTTTGTGTTACGTCATTTTTTTCAGACACAATAGGGAGATAGCAGATATTCGTCTTGCAGAAATAAGAAATAAAAATATACTTCTGGAGATAGCAACTTTTATTGTTTCAAATTTTGAAAATGGAATTGAACATTACCCAAACAGATTTAGAAATAATCAATTAAATTTAGAAAATATGATATTCATAATTATATATTATGTTATTTATAATATTGTCGATCTAGAAACAAAACAAAACAAGTCCAAAAACGAATAAATTTTTAATGCATTGTTAAAGAACTGAAATAGCAGCATTTTGGACTTAATGAATATGAAAATAATTTAAAAATTAAACTTATAATCCTTAGAAGATATGGTAGAATCCTTCCATGCTTATCCAATTTTTATCCAACGGTAGTAGACCGAGCTTGGAAAACTGCGTGATTTTATTAAATTTTGATTACTTTTCTATTTATTTTTTTAATTTTTATAAAAATTATGTATCATTTGCGTGGAAAAACATTGAAAAAAATAAAACTGATTAGGTATTATGAAAATGCTTGTACAAGTAAGTAATGTTATTTAAACTATTTATAGCACGCCGATGAATTGCTCGTATATAGAGAATTTCGTTTTTCCTTTACTTACCCTTTACAGATACCCCGTATATGCCCCGTATTTACAGAACGGATCGACGCAGGGTCGGACTGGCCATATTATATATAGTATATCTATTAGGGGGGCCCAGCCTTCGCGGGCCCCCTTTATAGTTCATTATTTATTGTTAACAATATTTGCTTTTGCATTGCATTATGGCATTTGCATTGGATTGGTTTATCTTGCATTAGGGTAGTTCCCTGATTTCTATACAGGGTGAGTCTTAAATAAGTGCAAATATTTTCAGGGCGGGTAAATATCGATAAAAAAAACATAATATTTTCTTTTTACCGATTTTTCAAATAAATCCAAAACAACCGAATTATTTCACTTTTAAAATTTCTAATTTTTTGCTATAATTTTGAGAATCATTGGATTTTCTTTCTTGTAAATTTAATCTACTACCTATGTTGCCATATTACAAACAAAGTATGTTCTTAAACTAAAAATTAAAAAAAATTCCAAATTTTTGTAAAGAAAATGTATTTGCTTTCACTACTTATAGAGTATTTTTTTCTCTTTCTAATGGTATAAAAAACTTATTCACATAAAAAATGGAGTTAGCAGGTTATCACGTTTCACTGACGATATTGTATCCGTAGGTGTATCAAATAGAAAAGAAGAACAGAAAAAAATATGAATATAGGTTCCTATTTCATTAAATAGTAAAAAATCCGTCTTACCCTAAATTATCGTTACCTATTATGGTGCATTCTCATGACTCGTGTACTTGACAAACATTTGTAATTGGTATACAGGGCCATGGTGCGTCGGACATCTATACGGAATTTCTAAGTTATTTATTTCAGGAACTACGCCGGACTTACGCTAGACCCTGTAGGCCAATAAAAATACTTGTCAAGTACACGAGTCGTGAGAACGCGCCATTATCATTATAATATATTAAGGCGCATTCTCACGACTCGCGTACTTGACAAACATTTGTAATTGGTATACAGGGTATACACGGTGCGTCGGGCATCTATAAAGAATTTCTAAGTTATTTATTTCAGGAACTACGCCGGACTTACGCTAGACCCTGTAGGCCAATAAAAATACTTGCCAAGTACACGAGTCGTGAGAACGCGCCATTATCATTATAATATATTAAGGCGCATTCTCACGACTCGCGTACTTGACAAACATTTGTAATTGGTATACAGGGTATACACGGTGCGTCGGGCATCTATAAAGAATGGCTAAGTTATTTATTTCAGGAACTACGCCGGACTTACGCTAGACCCTGTAGGCCAATAAAAATACTTGCCAAGTACACGAGTCGTGAGAACGCGCCATTATCATTATAATATATTAAGGCGCATTCTCACGACTCGCGTATTTGACAAACATTTGTAATTGGTATACAGGGTATACACGGTGCGTCGGGCATCTATAAAGAATTTCTAAGTTATTTATTTCAGGAACTACGCCGCACTCCCGCTAGACCCTGTAGGCCAATAAAAATACTTGTCAAGTACACGAGTCGTGAGAACGCGCCATTATAGGTTCGTTCCAACCATGAATCATAAACAGATTTGCAACAATTTGCAAATCTTGTCCAATGCGCATGTCTGTAAAATTAATTGTTTTCTGACCTATTTGAAACTAGGGTAGGAACACCTGCTTAACATTTTGTCTGTCAAGTGTCAATTTTAAATAAAATAACATAACCTAAAATTCGTGTAAGGCAACATTGAGTAAACAAGGTTGTTGCTGTGGTTGTTGTCTCTGAAAAAACTAGGAAAATGGCTCAACAAGGTAATTATCTTTAAAGAAAATACACCAATTTCAGCAAATGATTATTTTATATGCAAAGCACGAATATTACCATATTGGCCAACTTGGCTATTAAAATGCTGGCTTATTTCAAACCTTTCAGCTATGTACGTGATTAGCACTTTGTCTTGTAAGCCTAAAATATACAAAGAAAACTTCATTGGAATATTGAGGCACGGTTTCCTCTGAAAATATTAACACAATAAGAGATTAGATAAATTTATGTGCAAAAATGTCGATTATAAATTCTGTGCTCATCTAGTAGCAATTCTAAATCCTCCTCATCACTACTTTCCATGGACGACACGTCACTAATCTCACTACTATACTCTTCGTCACTCATGATATCTATTCACAAGTCTTTAATTAGTTAAACAGCCCGTTTAAATTATTCAAACAGATACGAGTATAATCAAATTTGCTATTATTGTATTAGTTATGGCGTGGTTATAACGGTAATACGCATGCGTCGGATAAATGATACGAGAAAATTTTGCAAACCGTTCTGACAGTTTTCAAACAGTTTTCAATTTAAGATGGAACAGAAAATATATGATTTACTAACCGACAGTAAATCCGGTTGGAACGCTTTTCAACTTCTGCGCAAACTCCTTACTGTAAGAAACCGTTTCTTACGCGGGTTGGAACGAACCTTATATTAAGTTGCTGCTAAGTGTAATGCTGACTGTACCTTTGCTTTTTAACACTATGTGCAATCGATTTTGAAAATATGAGCCTTCAGAAAACACTTGCATGTTTTTGCACCCGGCTCCATGACTAAAAACTAAAAGGGGTTCTTTGATAGTTATACAGGGTGGTCAGAACTGTATTCCGGAAACTTCGGCAGCATATTCTGCAGATCAAAATAAGTAAAAAAGTTCGTATAAATGTATGTCCTAAAATGCTTAGTTTCGGATATACAGGGTGTAGAAGTTTCATTTTTATTTCGATTTTTTTTGGAGAATTTTGGAATTGAAATTATCAATACCTGTCATCATTGACGTAAATTAAACATGTTGATTAAATAGTTATTAGACTGAGATCATAAATCTGAAGGTTTTTGTGCCAAACGTTCAACAGAAACTGTTTTATCATCATTTTTTTGCGGAAAAAATTATGATTAATTTAAAAAAATAAAAATTTCCCAAATTTATTATTTCAGTGAAATAACTATCTACTCAACGTGTTTATTTTTCGTCAGTAATGACATGTATTGAGTATTTCGAATTTTGGGGTCGCACCACTCTGGCACTTTGTGTCATTGTATCGGTTTTTTAATCTCGGTGCGATCCCTTTATACACACATTTATTAATAATAATATTCTGTAAAATTTAATGGGGTCTAATAAAGAAATTTGAATTTGAATTTGAATTTCCATTGTAAATATCTTGAGAACGGTTGCTCGTAGAAGAGTAGTAAACTACAACTCTAGTTTTATACAGGTACGGACAAAAAGTTATTACGCTTCAAAACAGTTAAAACATATGTAGGTGGCCCCCTCTATCAGTAGGATTCATATTGACGTCAAAATCAAATTTCTCATGTCAAAAATCTACCAGACACCAATTTTCATCCAAATATTACTTCAGAAATTATTTGGAAAAAATCGAAATAAAAATGAAACTTCTACATCCTGTATCTCTGAAACTAAGCACTGCAGGACATATATATACATATATATATATATATATATATATATATATATATATATATATATATATATATATATATATATATATATATATATATATATATAATAATAAATAATATTTTCTTGCCTTTAGCTGTGTATTTTTCTTCTAATTTCGAAAAATCGAAAGTAGAGAAAAAATTAAAAAAATAAAAAGTAAAAGAGAAAATTGTTTTGCTTGTCGTAAAGGGGGAACCAAGCTCCACTCCCACAACCGGTTTCTGGGCCTACCCTTCATCAGGTGGGCTGTCCAGGGGCTGGTTCTCACCGATACGGCAAGCAAAACTTCTTCTATATCTACAGACGAAGTCGTAAAGTGTCGGTGAGATATTAGTGCATCTCCCGTCAAAAGATGGTAAAGAGCGTTTTCGGCCCGCTCAAATATATGAAATGAACAAAATTCTTACAGCTTTAGTGTATATTAATAAAAAATATTTTCTTGCCTTTAGCTGTGTATTTTTTCTAATTTCGAAAAATCGAAAGTAGAGAAAAAATTAAAAAAAAATAAAAGTAAAAGGAAAATTGTTTTGCTTGTCGTAAAGGGAGGAACCAAGCTCCACTCCCACAACCGGTTTCTGGGCCTACCCTTCATCAGGTGGGCTGTCCAGGGGCTGGTTCTCACCGAT